CCAACTGAGCATAATATTTATTCAGTATATATAATAAGGTGACCATTTAAATACAAAATATATGCCCAGCTGTGAAATTTTCAAGTGGAAGAAAATATTCTAAATACAAGAGGCATGTGTATCCTTACTTTATTATTGGTGTGTTTTGTGTATTTATTCCAGATCTGTGCAGTCATTCAGTGTAAAACTTTTCCTTTATACAGAGCTTCCTGTAATAAAGACCGGTCACTGCTGCTCTCTCTCCTTGTGCAGGGTGACTGGTCTTGTCTCAGCCCTCCTGTAGTTTTCTGCAGGCAACATGTAGTTGGTGCAGCTGCTATGCCCCTCCCACAGCTATGCTCTCTGCACAGCTCAGTGGTGATGTCACTGCTACTTTTTCAAAGCAATATTTGTGTTTGCCAAGGCACCTGGTGCACACAAAGTGGTTATTAAAGAATGTATTTTAATAAACGTTTTTGTGCACTACATTAGATCATTAGGTGAGTTTAATCACAAATGTAGAGAGATGCTTAGGAGTAGAGTGTGCTGTACCTACTGGCGTTGGGTAAGTGGGAGAGTCTGGGAACTTTTTTGAAGGGCTTTTAGTTATTTTAAAGCTGAATCCCAGGGAAACAGCTTAATGCACAAACTATTTATATATACTGTATGTGTAATATAAGTTGTAAGGTGTAAAAAATACGTAATTCTGTTCAGAAGTTAAGAGATACAACTTGGTCACTAAATTGCCCGCAGATTGCTAATTGGACACTGAAGGTGCATCATCACAGCCTCAAAGACAGCATTCTGTTTAATCTCTCTTCTCCTCTTGCCATAAAGATTTCAGGGTTAGACTGAAGCAGTGCAAAATCAGTAATGCCTGACTGGCTCTCAGAGCTGACCCTATCTCTCCCATTCATCCTACTTTCAGATGTCAACATTCTATTCATCTCTCAATTGGCCGTTAATTTTAGAGAAGGTCCGTTATCTTCTCTTGAAGCCCTGCTATGTAGATTATTGAGTTCTGGTAATGCTTACAGAACACAAGCTTATTGCCCATTTAGGAAGTAAAGTGTCATAGGGGTTGATTTACTAACCTTATAAACACGCCACGAACAAGTATACACCTCTGCAGTGTGTTCCCTCCCAGCATGATCTATTGGTGGAATCTGGACACCTTTGTAGTGTGTACACACCCAGCAGGTGTGTTGTGCATGAATTGCAAGGTGATGTTGTTGTAAATTAGCTCTATGTTGTGTTGCTTGCGTTGATGAATGCAGGAATGTAAATGCATGAGCTAACCATTTTTGTCTAAACTGTGAAGCAGCATTATATATGCATCATGTGCATGATTTTTCCATACATGGCATTAGTGGAAATATGCTTTTAGAGACTTTTTGGTTGATAAATACATTTGCTGTGTGAAAATCCCACGCACCTGGTGCGTGCGTGTGTTTAGGTTAGTAAATCACCCCCATAGTCTCTTGAAAGACTAACCCCTGACCCACATACACTCACCTTCACCATGCTCCCCCAGTGCTCCAATCCTCTGCTAGATCTTGGAGTCACACCCTGTGTAAGCTTTATTTCTGCACTGCATCATACCCAAAAGCATCAGGTATTTCACAAGAGGAAGTTGGGGAGTGCAGAGTAAGTGAGTATAAGTTGGATGGGGTGGGTCTTCAAGAGACCCCAGAGCAAGGTAACAGAGTTTCTTTAATGTTGGGGTCTGCAAGCCAATTATATCTTTGAGTTCACTTTGGGTGGGCATATCTTTTTGGGCAAGTCTAATCAACTAGGACCCAAATATCTGAGAAGAACTGAAGAAGAAGAATTAGGCACAACCCCATATTTGCACTGAATCAAGTAATGTAGGACTATAACAAGTATGTGAGTTTCCCTCCAAGGAATACTATTAATCCAGAAAAATATAGGAACTCGGCCTTTAAATGGTAGATGCTTTTCAGGGGACTGATACTGTATATCCTCATCTCATATCACCATTTACACTGGTATATATTAGTTTTTCTTATGGCAAAGTCTCTTGCTAAGTGCTATATGATCAGTGAGACATCTGTTTTGTGAACGATGACAGCTGCATAAACCTAATAGAAGAAAAGTATCTCGGAATGTCAATATAGCGATGGAACAGAAACAGCCACCTATGACTTGGTTAACAAGAATGATAGCTGCCTCTGTGTGTCTTATCTTAAGGTTTTTACTGATAAAAATGCAGAAGATTTCAGATACACATAAAAAAACAACAGCTGCGGGCTAAAGTATGGAACCTTCAGAAGCCGTTAAGTTGAACATATGCTTGGTTATAATTTTCTCTTAAAATGAATGTGAGAAGCAGAATTGTGCGTTGCTATAGAACGTAAGACTGCAGTAGAAGAGGCAATGTTTTAATCATTGCATACATTATGTGATAGTGAAAACACATCATTGAAGTAGCTGCAATCATCCGGCCATTTTCTTAGATCGTCTGGCATGGTAAAGAGAAAACAAGCTGCGGAATGACGTGCGGAGCTGCATTGGCTCAATTCCTCGATAGCCATTAAATCCATCCCTAATATATTTACAGTGAATGAAACAATGCCATAACCTAAAAATAGTGAAGTGTTTATTCATACAAGCAATGATAGATTTAAGAATGCTTCTTCTGTGACATCACTGAAGAACACATTTGTGGCCAAAAGGTCTTACTGTACCATCAAGTCTAGATGTATTTACAAAGAGGTGTACTTTTTTTCTTCTGCCATGCACAGAAAGAATATCTGTTCTAGTGCTGGGTTGGAATTTTGCATCTCAGAGGCCCAAGTTCTGGCCAAGATACAACTCAGAAAGGTGGAGAGTGAAAGAGAGATCAACAAGCAGGGATTGCCAAAGGTCGAACCAAAAACAAACAAGGAACCTCAATAGACATTGCAAGGCACAGCAGGAACCAAGCAGAGCTGCAGAGGCAGTCAACCCACGTGGCAAACAGGGCTGAGGAGAAGACAAGGTAAATGGGGAATGGAGCAAACATTGTAGACCAGAGTCACAGAGACCCCTAACAAATGTAAGAATTATTCAGATCCAAAATCAGAACTCTCACACCATGAAAGGGTCACCCCACCCAAAATGATATTTAGTTATAAGTGGAGCATGGTAGGCTGGGTCAGACTTGGGCTTCCTATAAGTATGTATTGGAAACACAGCAATCTTAAGAACTCGCTGCCCTAATTCCTGTTCCTGTCCACCTAAGAGTTCTAGGTATCTTGGTCCAATTTTGCCTGTTCCAGCTCCTTCTCCTACATTGTCAATATTACAATATAAATAAATCTATCCATATTTACTGAATAAATATTATTATTATCATTAGGCAGGATTTATATAGCACCAACAGCACTTTACAATATAAGAAAGACATTACAGTTGCAATACAATTCAAGTCAAGATGGTTGGGAGGGCCCTGTCCGTGAGACCTTACAGTCTAAAAGGGAGGGGCAAGTGATACAAAAGGTGGTAGCTGTGCGGGTACGAGTTGTTTGAGAAACTAAAAGTTCAGAGGGAGCTTGTTAGGTAGAAGTATCAGCCACCAAAAAATGAGACAGCAGATTTAAGGATGAACTGACCCTTTTAGTGTAGGTTGATCCCACGAGATCTCTTTAACATACCATGGCTTTCTACATCTGTGGTCTCTTAGATTGTTAGTATATAGTCCCCTTAGATCAATGGTTGCTGCTCTTTGAGAGTAAACCTAGTGATCAGAGTTAAACAAGCTCTCATACAACAAAAGGGTGACACTAAAATACAGGTGGTGTAAACAGCGGCACTTAACATCTACATGGCTTCTGTTCTCCTAAAAAAAAGAGCCTTATTATTTTTCCAGCAAAGTAAACTATTGATCCTTGCTCACATCTCTGTCTTCTTATTTAATTAAGTTTGCAAATAAGAAAGCTATGGATGTAAATGTGTAGTTGTGAATAGACTCGTTAAGGCGGCTTGATGTAAATTGTGTTCTGCTTAGTATTCACACAAACAAGGCACATTCCTTTGCTCACCATGGAGAATTTACATGCAGATAAAAGGACAAAATATATTTATAGAGAGAACAGGAACAGATGCTGAGGAACGGAGCTCCAAAAAAGCCACAGGTCTGAGCTACATTGTTCAGGTTCCATCGCGGGGTGTTTAACTTCGACAATATGGCCATGTCACCATTAAAGGGAAAATCTGACCTACTTATAACTAATGTCTGTTGTGCCTTAAAGGGTATGTAAACCCTAACAATGAACTTCTCTTGTTTTGTTCCTTTTGGTCTGTTAAATATGCCATTGAATGGGTTTTGGGTTTTGTTGTATCTGCTCGATAAGAACAAAAATATACTCCTTGGTCTCGTTAGAAATCCTGTCAAATGATTACTTCCTCTGCTCTTTGCCTGTTCTTTACTCTTTTCAGTTACATTGTTTCCAGTTTTCTCTGAGGACTACATAACTCCTCCCATCTCCCCATAGGGTGACAACACTGCTTTTCCATATATGCAGTACGGTGTGTGAGCGCTGTCACCCTAAGTAGTGTTACTGGCAGGATCACCAGGTGAAAATAAAGGGAAAAAGAAAACGAATGCAGCCATCAAATCTGAGGTCTGGTAAGCTGCACTATATTGCATTGTGGATTCTGACATCCAGTTACCTGCTAATGCATTAGCTGATGGGCAGAGAAACTGCTGGTGATGTCACTGCCCTTAAACTAGACGTCAGAGAATGGCAGGCGCCATCTGATGTTTTCTTTGTGACAGATTGCCTTTCAAAGAGAACTCCAGGTCATACCTTTCTGTGTTTTGGAGTGGGAAAGGAGTTAGAATCTCTGTCTCTTTGGTGAAATTTCTTTCCACTTCCTGTCCTGGTGACACCTTGTTGTACTTGGCACATATGGTGTCACTTGAATAGAAAGCAAGGAGAAATCCGCACTCTGTGTGTTTAATATCGCATAGGTTATCTGCTGACAGTGGATAACTAGATGTCAGAGATTATGTTTACCTGATTCTGTGCTGCCCTCAGTAGTTGGTGCCTCTGTGCTTGGAATTGTAGATCCAGCTGAAATACATAGAATACAAAAAACATGTATAATCAGTATATATTAGCTTAGTCTTTTTTTAGCATGAATCCAAAATCTTTAAAGTCCATCTCCAGGGAAATGAAAAGTTTTCCCTTGCAGTGGGGCTGTTAACTGCTCATTTATGCCTAAGGGACAGGAAAAAGCCGTTTTACTTACCTGATCTCCGCTCACCCAGCAGTCGGCGCTCACCTCTCTCCCCTCCATTTCGGCTGTGGACTGTCCCTCTGTGTCCTCACGTACAATGCTGGTCTATGGAACCAAAATTGCACTTGATGACATCACTTCTCCTTTGACTGCCAGAGCGAAGGGTAGACGAGGCTTGCGGGACTGGTCTAACAGCCCAAAGGCAGCAAGCCAGAGCGGGGATCAGGTAAGTAAAAGTGCAAGTCATAAACAATCAGTGAATGAGAAAAGCTTTTAATTTCTCAGGAGTTGGGCTTTAATGAACACTATCAGGGTTATTCGCAAAAGGGTGAATGGTTTGGAGAAGGCAGGAGAAGAGAACAATCTAGGACAAAATAGGTGAACTGGAAAGTGAGCTGAATTGAAGAATTTTTCCAAGTCAGCAATGTTGTCCTAGATTGTTCACTTCTCCTGCCTTCTCCAAACTCTTCACCCTTTTGTGAATGACCCTGTATGTTTTGGTCCACATTTTTAAATTGTTTATAGGTTTATTAACTGATCTTTTATATAATTTTCTCATAACCTAAAACAAATCATTATTTTTACATATAAACATTTATTACATGCGGCTTCTTTGACTTTGCACACTTGTTGACTTCCTTTATCAAGATCAACTTGTACATATGAAGGAGATCTGCATATATAACTTTTCTGGACAGCAGATCATTTTCATTGAAGGAAACTTCTCCTTGTCAACTTTTAGACCATATGCTTATTCTGTTTGGTGACAGGCATACCGTACTTTAATAATTGCAAAAATGTGGCTTTCAGGACATTCCTCAGGTTTTAAACAAAATTCTATTCGTGATCCCATAATGGCCAAAGATGTTATTTTCCTCCTCGGCAAACACACCCCGTATCATGTAAAAGATCTTAGATGACTGTAAAAGTCTTTGATGTAAATTCAAACTGGCATCAATTAAAATAAGATTCACACTTAAGGCGCTGGAAACAATTACGAGGCCTTGTGTCACTCATGTGTTCTCTATTAATTTTATAACCTACATGGACTAAAATATCCCAAATGATCCGAGTCTGACTATCATATTACCTATGAATGGCAGTTTTCTTAAGTTGTTGAAAATATTAACAGGTGTAATATATCTCAGAGCAATCGAAGCAATTATTGGATTATTGGTTTTACAACAGTTCTGGGAAACACTTCTGGGAAACCGGGCTATTCTACTCTGTTGTCCATCTCGGTTTAACATAATGAACTTTCAAGGCAGTGAAGAAAAGAAGTTTTTAATGAGCTGGTAATTACTGAGTAGGAGAAAAAAAAAGGTCCATTCTTCCAATACCATGGTAATACTTAACAAGGCACATGTGGCTTAGCTTCACACTATTAAATAGCTCTTATTAAATTCTGAGGAGCTGTGTATATTTTCCACCAAGATTGTTCGCTTTAAAGACGTTGATTCCTTAACAATGAAAACTTAAAATGACTAAAGATTGAAATTCAAAACCATTATTTAGTGGGACGCTGGAGTTCACCAACTCCACATCAAACTTCATTTGAGTTTTTACTGGAAATACAAAGCTTGTTTTAATGAAATGCCTGGAGTAGGCTGATTATAACCATTCTGGGGTCAACGAATATATTTTTTCCAGCATTCAACAAGTTAAGACTTGTAAAACGCCAAGCAGGTGACTTGTTAACAAGGTGTAATCTTTATATGGTTTGAAGCCCAAAAGGTCAGAGACAAATAGGACTGTCAATGTGTAATTCTGCTACCTTCGGGCACCAGTGCATGCCTTAGGCCTATAAGGTAAAGGGAGGAAGGAGTGCTGCAGACACATCCTAAATATCTCTAGTTTAGTTAAAGTTTATGTTAATTGTGCTTTTTTTGTAGCATGGTCTTAGAATCCATGCTCCCTCAAATCTGCTCTGGTTGTTATAGTGCAATTGTTGCTACACAACTTAATTAAAAAGGGCGTATTTATAAACAATTCACAGAGGCATTCTTCCTGCGCAATTGCATGTACAATTGTCTTTTGCAAATGGAGACAAACATGAACGTTATTAGCATATTTTCCTCAAAGGTCAAATGTATATAGGAAAGATGTATTTCTTTCCTTTGCTCCTCAGAACCATCTAGTGACCATAATTTGGTATTTTCTTGAAATTACATTTGGCCTGGTAACAAAATATGCCTAAAACATTCAATTATGCCTCCATTTGCACAAGACAATTGTACATGCAATTTCGCAGGATGAATGACGTATGCATGTAAATTGTTTCTAAATACACCCCTTTGGATCAACTTGTGAAGCAACATCTGCACTCAAAGCAACCATTGCAGGTTGAAGAGAACTTGGATTCTAAGACCATGTTACAAAAAAAGCATAATTAACATGAACCAGAGATTACCTAGCTGCGTCTGCAGCGCCTCCCTCCTTTTTTGCTTTATAGGCGTAAGGGATGCACTGGTGTCTGAAGGAAATAGATATGGACATTGATAACCCTGAAGTGTCTCTGACTGGCTCTACACATATCAACCAATCAAATCTCTATATTAATGTCTGTGTTAGAGCATAGACAACAGAAATTGGTTTAGAACCAACTTAGACACATTTATGTCCCCTACAGCGTATAACTAAGAATTACAGTGTAGTGGTAGGTAGTATGCCATAGCAAAACATTCACACATTGGGGGTGATTTACTAACCTAAACACACGCACGCACCAGGTGCGTGTGATTTTCACACAGCAAAACGTATTTATCAACCAAAAAGTCTCTAAAAGCATATTTCCACTAATGCCATATATGGAAAAATCATGCACATGATGCATATATAATGCTGCTTCACAGTTTAGACAAAAATGGTTAGCTCATGCATTTACATTCCTGCATTCATCAACGCAAGCAACACAACATAGAGCTAATTTACACAACATCACCTTGCAATTCATGCAGGGCTTTGCACAACACACCTGCTGGGTGTGTACACACTACAAAGGTGTTTAGATTCCACCCATAGATCATGCTGGGAGGGAACACACTACAGAGGTGTATACATGTTCGTAGTGTGTTTATAAGGTTAGTAAATCAACCCCATAGTGTTCAGCAATTTTGTGTAGTTAGACTAAAGAAAGATCATGTCTGACTGGCAGCTCTAAGCTTTACTGCACTCTGCAATTGGCTCTTGGACGTATCAAAAGCCAAATTAGTTCCTTTAGATGTCCATCATCTTAGTACCTGTCATACATGATATTATACATGGAATTTTATCGCAGGCTCACCTGCCAGTTTGTAGTCTTCGCTTGTTCCACTGTGGCAGGGAATGAGCTCATCATCACATTCATCATCAGCTTCTATCTTTGAAGTGGGGGGAATGGAGGTTGGTGCTGTAAACAATTGTATAAAAAGATGAGATTATAAGATAGTCATATTATAACCTTATCAACAGTAACAGATTTTCCAAGAATGCGCAGTGCCCTAGAGGGTGAGGCTTTCTCCAAGAGCAGATTACATTATTAACAGTTAGGGCGCTTGAAGCAACAGTAAAGTTAAGTGTTTTCATTTGTTCTGGATAGAGTTGGGAATGGGCAATACCCCTTATCGAGAGATTTCTGATTACTTCCTTCTTGGGAACCCAAATTAAATGAGAGGACATTTCCCAAAGTCATGAGAAGTCCCTCCCCAATTGTCCACGGTACAGGTGTTCCCATTGGAAGATTTTACTCTTACCTCCTTTTCTGATAACTGAAAATTTGGGATTTATCAAAATGTTGAGTCCTAGTGACAATGGAAGTAGTAGGGAGGAAGATTCTCCCCAGTGGGGACAAGCCCATCCTAACAAAATAAAATAGTTTTTGGCTTTAGATACACTTTCAAAAAGGACGGTCATTAGCATTAACTTTGCTAGTGAACTTACATAATCAGGTTATGTTCCTTTTTGTAAAGTACAGAAAAGTCAGCGCTGAAGGTTAGACTTTAACTCCCAGCAGGAGCTCAGGTATCTGCAATCAACACTAGTATGGATTTAGAGCTGTCCAATGTCAGATAAGATTTCATTGTGAGAACTGGCTATTCTGTGCCCCTAACACAAAGAAGCAGCCTTGTCCTGGGGATGGGCTTTGTCTCCTTTCCTTTCTTGATTAAGATTTGGAGCGTTAAAAAGAATATTATTAGAATACCATTAATGGTCTTTCCCTGTTTCATCTTTCATTGCATCTCTCTTTCTTTTATTTTCATTTTAGAAACTTATAATATTTCTGAAAAGTTTCTTCCTTCAGAAATGACCTGGTACTTTTTTGGAATGTAATAAAGTTTTTTTCCCCTCTATCTCCTCTAAGCTTGTGGGTTCCCAATAGAGATACCATTAAACAGCTCAGAGTAGTTAATGTAATGCCAGATTCTTGTCTTCCCTTTGTAGTGATAAGGCGAGGAGATGCCCTCTAGCTCTGAATATATAATGGGCTTCAGATCTAATACAATTCTAATGCAGCTGATCCAAAAAGCACACACCGCGGTCATGGGAAAATATTCCACGCTTACATTGTAGTGATGTACTCTTATTACCCTACGTCTTCCTTTTTATTTTTATTACGCAGTATGCAATTAAAGGTATACTCCAACGGCAAAATATTATATTGTAGAAGCAAAGTGTTTTTTGCTAGTTTGCAAACATAAAAAACTGATGTTGTATAACATTTTTTAAAAGTATAAAATACTTGTTTTATACTCAGACTGCAAAGCATGATACGCTTTCCTAGCACAGCCTGCATGCTTGTTAGAAGCCCCTGTATAACTGGTTGACTATTGCAACTCCCTCCTCATTGGCCTACCTCTACACAGGCTATCCCCCCTTCAGTCTATCATGAATGCAGCTGCTAGACTCTGCACTGGCTTCCAATAGCCCAAAGGATATAATCCAAAATATTAACAACCACTTAGAAAGTCGTCCACAAGCCCCCGGCTATAGCTCCAACATCATCTCAAAGTATCACCCTAACCGTCCCCTCCGCTCTTCAAAAGACCTTCTGCTTTCCGGCTCCCTCATCAACTTCTCCCATGCTCGCCTCCAGGACTTCACTAGACTCTCTCCCATCCTATGGAACTCTCTACTCCAACCTGTCCATCTATCTCCTACTCCGACTGCCTTTAGGCAGGTGATCCCTTAAGACTCATCTCTTCAGGGAAGCCTATCCCACCTCAACCTAACCACTGAACTATCACTTTTTTAAACACTTTTTTAAACAATTCATCCCCACACAGCTACCTCCTCATGTATCACTGGCCACTCCCTTTTAGATTGTAAGCCTCAGGGGCAGGGTCCTCCTTACCATCTCGTCTTTAATTGTATTGTGATTGTAATGTCTTCCTTATATTGGAAAGCGCTGCACAAACTGTTGGCGCTATATAAATCTTGTATAATAACAATAATAATAAACCAAACTAAACCAAACAACAAGGGTGTGTGTTCTTTTCTCATTGTAACCAGATCGCTCACACTCTTTAGGTCTCTTTCACAGCATAGCTGTAAAACAGGCAGAGGGACCTAGTGCTATTCATCTTGGAGCCTGATACCTACACGCTAAAAGTGGGACATGAGAAATATAAATTTGTTATATTTTCGTATAAACTATAAATTCGCATTAAATGGGCTCAGGATACACATACAGTATGGGTCACTATAATTATTTCCTGGAATTTTTGGCATATGATTCTGTGTTGTCCAACTTCCCTCCTATGGTCTAGGAAAGGGCGCGGTGGGCTCAGAGAGTGGGCGGTGCTGGAACCTGGGAACACAATGCCTGCACATGCTTAGATTCAGTCGCTTTTAGAAGGTGAGGATGCCGCCAATTATAGGGGTTTAGCTAACGGGGTGGCCAGGTACATAAGGGGAATACTAAAGCTTCTTTGGTAGTAGGCATTACCTACGGTGTTAAGATAGACGCAGAATGTTCATGTTTTGCTGGAGTGTACTTTTAACAGTGTTAGGGACCTTGATTTTCCTCCCTCTGGAAGCAAAGTCTAATACGTCTTAGCTGACATTGATTCATTAACCACTTAAGTGCAGGACACAATACGGTCATTCGCTTGAACAGAAGCTGGCCCCCAACAATATACATTAGCAATAATGACAGATGCAAATGGCCATAATGGACTATCTACAGGATATGGAAGTCAGAGCATTGTATGGGACATTAATATCCCCTCTATTAAGGACTGTAAATCCACAAAGATTGGCCATAGGATAGATTATCAATGAAGGAACACAAAAGCATTAGTGATAATGTAACTCAGCTCTCAGGACAATAAATATATGTGACAAGCCAAATTCTTTGGCAAGCAGAAACAGGGCCGAATATACATATCTAATATGTATTAAATATAGACGTTCGCGGGATTAGTTACCTTCAATTTCGCAGCCCAGTAGTTCCAGTCGTAAACCAAGACCCGACACCGATGCTCTTTCAGGGATTATGCGGATATAGCGGGTTGATATAGGGGCAAAGGTCCTTAACTCCGGGGTGTCATAATTTGTATTGCCTTCAAACGTCTAGAAATAGGAAAGGAGGTTTAAGTCAAAGTTCATGAAAAATGTCAACAAGGGACAGATTTATTCTGCCAGTCTGGATGATAAATTCACCTTGGTGCGTATATACCGACCTGCTAATAAGTCATAGTTTAAGCCGATTCTCTTTTTATTGGCATGTTAAAGTGTATATAAACCCAGGCACAAAATGTTATATATTGCAGCATACCAGGCCTTACACGTGGTCGCTGCATTCTGTTTCAGGTTTTGTAATCTTTATATTCTTCTTGTAAACCTGTCAGTAACACACATGACAGGGTGACAATGCTTACTCACTGTACTTTATTTAAGGAAGGGCAGTGTTGTCACTCTAGGACAGGACTACAGAACACCTCTCCCTCTCATCATCTCCAAAGCATAGAAGGGAAATGTTCTGTAGTTAACACAGGTGAACTCAACAGGGTTAATAGCACTGCTTATCAGTCTTCATGATCAGGTCAATTACTGAACGTTGTACTTCACCATTGTACTTTGCACTGCTCTGTAGATTTAGGCCTGGTGTGTTTCTTTAGTTTGCTTTATCATGCTTACATTATATCTGTATCGTCAACTCTACAATGCCCTCATCTTGCCTGATCTATGACAGGTTCACTTTCCCAGTCATTTACTATCAGGAAATGTCCTTTATTTGCAGGTAAGACAAAAAACATTACCTTCCATTAAAAATTTAAATATGCCATTATCTATCAGAGAGCAATCTGACAGCAGATTTATCCCTGAGATTGTATAAAATTCTCTTTTATGCAAACGATCTCTGAATATTTCACGTTAATAATGCTGCGCGTTTAAAGGACATCATCTTGGAACATGAATATTTGATACAGATCAAAGCTTTACATGGGAAGGTACCATGTATTTCACTTACAATTTAGTTATCAGTTTCAGCTTTCATCATCAGGTACTAGATTTTTTTTTCATAGTATCACAGAATTAATAATCATTGAGTAAAAACAGCTATCCTCTCCTCACTTCCTCTTCTTTGCAGTGATATTTTATGGAAATAAATACAACACGGGTCACCTTCTTAGACAAATGATCTCATATTTATGTTGATTAAATAGTATATTAGTCTATTATCTCTTTTGATTGGTTGCTACTGTATTTTGCCAAGACTCTACATTGCACTTTACACTCTTTTGGTATCTATGTGCTATATACAGTATATTGGTGTAGCATCCCTGTCATACATTGACTTTATGGGGTTGATTTACTAACCTTATAAACACACCACGAACATGTATACACCTCTGTAGTGTGTTCCCTCCCAGCATGATCTATGGGTGGAATCTAAACACCTTTGTAGTGTGTACACACCCAGCAGGTGTGTTGTGCAAAGCCAAGCATGAATTGCAAGGTGATGTTGTGTAAATTAGCTCTATGTTGTGTTTCTTGCGTTGATGAATGCAGGAATGTAAATGCATGAGATAACCATTTTTGTCTAAACTGTGAAGCAGCATTATATATGCATCATGTGCATATATAATGCTTTTAGAGACTTTTTGGTCGATTAAATACGTTTTGCTGTGTGAAAATCACACGCACCTGGTGCGTGCGTGTATTTAGGTTAGTAAATCACCCCCAATATGTCATTCTCAAACTTTAGACTTGCCTTTTTGACAATATACCGTCTCAGTGAGATTGTTGGGCCTCATGTATCAATGTCTAAAGTGAAAAGCTTTTGTACTCCACAATGACTAATAAAGTTCTTTAATTTATTTTATTCCTGTCTAGGGAAAAAGTGACCACCAGAAACAGATACTGTATGTTGGTCTGGACAATAGACACTTAGGGGCTGGTTTATAAAGGGTTAGCTCAGTGTCTAGCTGGGCAAAGGCTGTTCAATCTGCATTATTGCTGCTAGATGGAGCTTGAGGAGCATAGGAACTTCCTATGCTACTTCGCTCCATCTAGCAGAAGTAAGGAAGTGTAAACAGCATTCACCCATCTATATGTTGGGCGAACCCTTTATAAATCAGCCCCTTTGTATTCAGTAAATGCAGGCTTTAGCCATTCTTTCACCACTGACAAAACATTTGCCAAAAGTGGGCAATTTAACTATTAAGTTGCTGAAAGAAAATGTCTTAATACAGCAAACAATACAATTCCATCTGTTGCTATGTACAATGCAGACACTTTCATACAGTAGATAACACATGTCTATCAGCCTAGAACGCAGATATACCAATTACCCACTATAGTTCTAAGTATCGCAAATATACAGTTTATATATATATATATATATATATATAGTCAACAGTCTATCTCACCTTTGGTTTGTTCCTACTGAAATCCATGATCATCTTCCATTCAGTCCCATTATTGCTGTAGCCAATCTTGAACTTCTTCATGAAAACTTTGTTCTCCCGATGTTTCCCACCCTGAATAATAATGCCGCTAATAATCTTTTCCTCTCCAAGGTCAATCTGCAGCCATTCCTTTGTGTAGGGGTGATTGTTAGAAGGTGGCAGAGCCCAGCCAGATCGGCTGGTCACCAAGCGGGCAAGTTCAGGGATCCAGTTTCGATCGAACTGGCTTGAGGCTGTAATCTGGGAGTCGGATATGAGTCCTGAAATCATCCCCAGCATTCCTGAGCATGGATAATCTGTATGATGAAAGTTAATAAAGCATTATCTATTATGAAATGTCACTTTTATTCTTTTGGCCACTAAGTTGCCTTTTTGAAATATAGATACGGATAAATAGCGAATACACCATTCTTGTCACAGGGCATTATCTTACTCTTTGTTAAGATTTAGATATTGCTTTCTGATTATCCCATATTGTGAAAAACCACTGTCAAAAGAAAGTGGGGAATGGTTAGAACCTCTACTGGGTTTTATACAGGGCATGTCTGAGAAGTCCCCTCACTTCTTGTCACCAGTCTCTCAAAAAGGGGCATAGACAGCAAATACAGTGAAGGACATGTTTGTATTGCTCTGTGTTTCCACAATGGGGGGATTTCCCCTTATTATTTTGGACTCTATAGGAGCATCATACCAGTGGTAAGTTCATCTGAGTACTCCCTCATTTTAAAACAATGCCTGAACAGTCCCTTTACATACCCAGTGACTGAAACATGATAGCATTGCAACACTGTGTGATACAACAGAGCATCATGCTTTCAGACTGATTCCTGCTTTGCAGGGGTTTAGGGGAAGCTGAATCTGACCTCCAAGCAAACAGACAAACAATAGAAATGATATATATGAAATAACAATAATGTTGTTTTTAATGCAATAGTGTCTTTTTTTGGTATATTTTTATATTCTTTATACTATGGATTAACAGTGTAATTCTACACACCATCAAAGAGCCCTGATATACATATATGTTAGTAATCACACAGGTGGATGGAGTTTAAATGCAAGCCCACTGGATGTGTTGGATGCATTGCATTATAGAGGGGCATACATAGGGTGGGACGTTTAAATGATCTGGGCTAAGACACCATTTAATGTGTGAGTATTCTTTTTCTAGGCAATGAAAAGGAAAAGGGGAATGCAATAGTTTCCCAATGGCTCACAGTGCTTCCAGTCCTGCCTAGAACTGTCGTAATGGTTCCCAAAGACATGCTGGTAGGTTAATTGGCTCCTGACTAAATTGGCCCTTGTATGTATGCATGTGAGATAGGCATAGATTGTAAGCTCCTTAAACACTTGTTGGTGTTATATAATTACCTGTAATAAATAAATAAATGAACCTTTATGGTCTTCTGTAACTTGTACAGTGGTGTCATGCACATGGATACTGGCTGGTGTCCCAGTACAATACTGGCTTCTGTTATGAGTTAATGTGGGAGTATCTGTCTTTTTTTTCTCTTTCTTACAGCTGAGGATATGGTCCAGGAATCAAACACTGAAGCCGTTATCTAGGACGATTTCCAAGCATATATCATGTTCTAATTCTTTTCCTGTAAATGTTTCATGTGACACCATTTTATAAAATGTCTTTTAGTATTCCTCCACCCACGCAAACAAAAAAAAGGCTCTCTAAACATTTTCTCAGTGTCGTTTATATATGCCATACTAAATTAAGCTATACAGCTGTGCTCAGGTGTTTATTTCGGCTTAAATGGTAACCTGGGGACTGCAGGCAGTGGGAGTCAGGTGCAATCAGCTCTTAATTGCACACATAGGGGCCTCAGGAACATCAGCAGTACAGTTTGCTTGGTGCTAAATTGGCTTGCGAACCCAAAACAATAATGTGGCATGTACCGTGTGTGAATATGTAATCGTATCAATTAATAACAAAGGTGCAGTCTCAACAGTGTGAAAGCTAAAAAAGAAAGTTGCCTTGCACAATATAAAATGGTTACATTTATAATGTCTTCCCACTGAAAGTTGTACAATTACAAAGGGATTAGTACAAAATAGAGGACGTTAAAGGTCATGTATTTGACTGACATTGATTTTAAGTGAAACCTATGCTATTCTGAGACAAAAACTTTTAATATGTGACTGTTAAGGTGCTGAATTTTATTCTAACGTGCAAGACTTAGGGGCTGATGGCTTCCATCCAGCCATATGCTGAGCAAATGGCATTGTCACGGTTTTCTGAACACAAGATGGAGCCAAAAGAGCATAGGAATTTCCTAAGCTCCTCGGCTCCATCTAGTGGTGGAAATGCCATTTTAATGGCGTTCGACCAGCATATGTCTGTATGGTTGATTTATACATCAGCCCGTACCTGTTGTGTATCTGGCCATCCTATATTAATACAGCAATACTCTAGTCTAGGACATGAGTTCTCAAGCCTGTTCTTAATCCTACACCCACAATGCAGGTTTAGTGCATATGTTCTCAGTAACATAGGTGGATTAATTAGTAAGGAGGCCAAGTAACTAGATTTCCCACATGTAAATCCTGCATCTTGGGCAATAGTTCTGGATTGCCAGTAAATGTCTGACACAAATCGGCCCTTGCTGATTGCTGCATAATCTCACCTTGCTATAAAGCCTAAAGCTCAAGGGCTGGTTATTAATCATAAAAGGTCAAGCTTTTTAAAAAAAAACCAAAAAAACAATTACCTTTGGCATATCTATTACCCTTGGTGGGAGTTCATTCAAGCAGATTTGCAAAGTCGCATTAATATTCTTACCTGTTATTTTACAGCCGTAGACTTCAAATCTTAAAGAGATCCCATTTTCCCAAGTCACAGGCCGGAGCTTAATAAACCGCGTTAGGACAGGCTTGGGAAATGCTCTGTAGACAACATCAATTGGATTTGTGTTTCCTTGAAAAACCTGCATCAACAAAGAATGAGCAATATGCACTTAATACAAAAGGTATAGTAAACATTGTTTTACTATACAGTATTTGTCATTTTCTGGAATGACTAAAGTATGTGTGTATCGAACTACAACTGCTACAGAGTCCGTGTTCGCCATTCTATTGGTGGCTTTGAAGCAACTCTTACCTTTGCTAAGGTTAACAGAAACCATACCAAACCACAGGAACTATTCAACTTATAAATACATCAACTTTGCATAATCAGTGAGGAAAAACTCTGCTCTAGTTTGTCCTTGGAGACCCAGTTATATTTGGCACTACCAGCTTTACCCTCACACAACATAGAGAAGGTAAAACCAGGCTGTCAGTCACAGCCCACATGTCAAAAACCCCTCTGTCCCTCCCATCACAGTCATGTGTCACTCTACTCTACAAGTCAGGGGCCAGGGGAGTGGATGGCGATTGAGATAAAAGCTGCTTAGCTGTTGACTTTGAATAAAAATTCAAAATTTGTATGTCCAAAATTGTGCCGTTTAGTCTGCTAGGGCTGTATGCTTCATAGAAAGAAAAGCGTGCATTCAAAAGGGTTTATTGAGGAGATAATGAAGGTACCACTATGTAAACATGGGAATGAAAAGGTTCCCTTTATGGGTCAATTCTGTCAGATTTTGTTGGGTGCAATCCCCAACTAGCTTCTTATGTTTGTCATAGATACCATACTTCCCAGTTACCATCTACTGTGGACATTAATGGGAGAGGTCTCACAATCCCCAATGTTTCATATATTGTAAATAATATTATTTACAGTCTGCTGCAGTAGAAATTCTGAGAATACAAGGCAACTTGGGTGTGCGTGTGTTGTGTATAGAGGGGCAGGATGATTGGGAACTATTTTGAGAAGATTTCAAAAGGGTCTTTAAAATCCAGAGTATGCTGGTGGTTATTTTAACTCATCGGCATCTACAAAAAATTTAAATGATGGTCTTGAATTGGCTGACTGTGTAAATAGACTTTATTACAGTGCATAAATCTTCTTTTTGTACTGCATTCAAAAATGTTGTGTGAAATAAAACATCCTATTAGCTTTCTCCTGAGGGACAGTCCATTTTTATTTTAGTCATTAACAGAAGCAAATAGTGGCCTAAAATAACAATTAAACACAAATTTTTTTTATGTATTCAGACTGTGCTTTCTAAACATGCCTATGCTGTGCTTGCTCTTGATGGATTATTTTTTTTAAACTAGAATAGAAACTTTTTCATCTGTTGAGGGGCCTTTGTGCTTTTATGGCTCCTTTTTACTTGCATTCTATATAAGAGTCTCCTAAGTCCTTTTAAATTGCACAGGCCCATTTGGGAAAGCTTATTTCTGCAAGTTACTGTAAACATATTAAACAGAAATGGTACCAATGTCTAATATTGTGTTTCAAGGCATTTAATAGCAGTTATTATATATGTTTTCCATACTTAATAGTTGCTATGACTTTTAAATTACAGTAAAAAAAAAAAGAAAGCTGATCTTTGGTTCTTACTAAATGTTTATTTCCATCTTTAAGTGTAATCCAGTCTTCTCCATTAGAGCTAATATCGATTTTATAGGATTTCACAAAATACTTCTTCTTGGTTTCCTTCGATATGGCTCCCTGGATTCCAATGCCAGAAACAAAACGCAGAAGTCTCAGGTCTACCTGCATTTGAAGAACATTTAAAAGATGGTTATTAAGAGGATTTCATGTACTATAAGGCAAATCGTGATTACATGCACAGTATCCAGTCAGATTAAATCCCCCCCAAATTCTAGAGTACAGAGCTGCCCATACATATGAAAAGTCTCGTCAGAACTTTTGATAATGCCAGAGACATAGAGAATGTCCTTCGAAATTTTGCTTGATTTAAAAATTTTGGAAGTGATTGCAATTTCTCAAACAAAAACCACATTCACTGAATATTATTCATTTAAGAAAAAATTCCATCCTGATCCTTCAATTTGTTTTCGTTTTTGCGGTCTAAATAATTCAATAATTCGACCCCATTAACTATGAGAAAATCAGAATAAACATTCCGAAAACAACATTTTCCAAACAAAATTCTACTGCTGTATGGCCAGCTTAGTATACCTTTCTCTTCCTGACGTCAGGGAGGGACTTAGTGCTTGTCAGAAAGGAACACTAGCTACCTCTTTTAATGGTTGTATGAACAAGCCTTTCATGATTGGGTATAAAAAATTAACTGAATGTTACACAATCTCTCAAAGACTGACATATAGAGCAAATGATGACTTGCAGGATACAACCGGTGCGAACAGATCTCGCTTATCATTGGCCACAAGACGGGAAGATCATTTCTGACTGGTTGTACTTTGCGTGCTCCTTTTTGCCGTTTATGTTAACTCCTGTATTGTTGATTTCAAATGATTTACTTCTTTCCTACTGAGCTTGTTACTTAGCAGAAGAAGACAAATTGATTCCACTTCATGTTCACTTCATGAGTAAACACATCCTGCTCCCCAGCAGTTCTATATTTAGCCCTCATTCATTTTATTTATTTGCACATTAATAAAATGCAATAACATCTTCGCTGGCAGATTACAAGGACCCTCATCTTAATTAGCATCACCATTGTCTCCGATCCTTCTAACGCGTTCATATGCTAATTCATATTATTGGATACTTTTGTATTTGGAGCCAAGGCTTTGCGTACTACAGAATTCTGAATGCAAACCGTCATTATTTTGATTAGGATAAAATGATTAGTTCTGCAGAAAGTTTGCACTGTACAGAGGATGCACCGTGACAATTAAACCTTTTCCTCTCAAGTGATTATAAAGTGTTCTAAGCTCATATTCCACCCTGTGCTCTAACCAAAATGAAGAGCTCTTTAGGCTCTTGTGCTCTCTCTGTGACGTCTCTTAAAGCTTTTCCGCAATTAAGATTGGATAGGCCTAGAACCCCTGACTTGAACAGACTGATTATAAAAATAAAAAACTTAAATGTTTATTCCTGCTGATGAACTTTGGAGAGACAGCAACTTCCTCTCAAGTGGTACATTTGTTACAAAGTTAACAAGTTTAAATGTCTGCAATCAGTGGCAGCCGTTTTATGGGTCCAGTGTAGAAATATGAAGAATCATCACTTTCATCGCTGCCACATGGAAAACTAATGTCAATAGTTTCTACTGAATTGACAGGCTGCCTTTTGTTTTTTGTAGCTAGGGGGCAAAAGTTGAAAACTAACACTTTAAAGTAAATCTCAAGGCAAACTACACTAAAGAAATCAATAACAAGTGTTTTTTTTTCTGAATAACAGGTGTAATACACACACACACACACACACACACACACACACACGGAGTTTGTTAATATTAACAACCACTTGCAAAGTGATCCAGAAGTGATCCTCTGCCCCCAGCTTTATCTCCAACCTCACCTCAAAATATCACCCTAACCATCCTCTCTGCTCCTCCCAAGACCTCCTGGTCTCCAGCTCCGTCATCACCTCCTCCCATGCTCATCTTCAGTACTTCACTAGAGTCTCTCCCATCCGCTGCAGCTCCCTCCCCTAAGCTGCCTGGCTATCTCCTACTCTGTCTGCCTTTAGACAATCCCTGAAAACTCGTCTCTTCAGGGAAGCCCATCCCACCTCTACTTCACCACTGATCTTTTACTTTCTCTAGCAACTCATCCCCACTCATCCTTTCGTATCACTTGCCCCTCTCATGGGCAGAGCCCTCCTAACCATCTCGTCTTGAATTGTATTGTAACTGTAATGTATTCCCTTTATTGTAAAGTGTTGCACAAACTGTTGGCGCTATATAAATCCTGTATCATGTACATCCTGTATAATAATAATAATCATTTTTATAATAGCCTACCCATGTCATTTCCGTGTGTTGTTTTTTTTCTGTATGAAACTCTGAAATGCAAAACTCTCTTTAAAGAAATGTTATAGCAAGAACTATTACACTAAAATGTCACATGACCAAGCAGAGCCAATCAGAAGTTTGTATTGAATGCTGGGGAATGCATGAAAGAGAAGCCTCAGTGGCACAGTGAAATTGCTCCATGCTAATTAATGAGTTGTTCAGACAATTATAAAAAAGTGGACTTGCCCCTAAAATTGCGCAACATTGCTGAAGTACAGAGACCTTGCTGTACCTCTGTTAGCCTTAAAATGAATCCCTGTGTTCATGTGAAGCCTTATTTTATTCTACAGTGCACAGAGCCTTGACTTTTCTTTAAGTTGAGACTAAGCCTCTCTACTTCTGATTTAAGCCCTGTGCCTTGGCATTCAGACATCACAGGGCAGTATAAGCTCTGGGCTTTGCCAGCTGAATGGCTGGGATGGGACTAAGTACTGAGATGGAGACACATTGAGGCCCAGTCAAAGGAGTTTCAGAGGGACTACAGTGACTGATACGAAGACTAACACTGGAACTTTCAGGAACCATACGCAAGCTGCATGTCGGCACTGTTTTTAATTTAGTGTTAGTCCAGGTCAGGTTTACCTACTTAACTCAGTATTATTTAGATAAAAGTATCTTGGTGTCAAAAGCTGAACATTAAAGGGACTAAGCAGCTGTCACGCAGCCCAGTCTGGAAAATAGGCAAATCTGACAGATGCCGGATACAATGGTGAACAAACATGAACTGGTGCATTTTGCACTTTTCAGCACCAGTCTGGATCTCGCTATAACATACAATGTGAGTAACTTACATTCCGGTATAATGTACTTTTGTGTGTTATCAACAAGTCCTCTGTAACGGCCAAAAAATCTTCAACATCAAGCATGAAAGCTATATGCTTCTCAGATATGTAATGAAAGATTCAGTTGGTGCAATTGAAGAACATAAAAGAGAGGCCCTGTTAGCTCAAACTAATGTTGAAATTAAAATACCTGGCAAGGCTCCAAAAGCTGCTTAAATCATTGAGAAATCCTCTTTATGAAAAATGTGGCTTTGTGTGCCCTTGGCAAATTTTCAAGGTTCACATAGCAACCAGAAAATAATTATGCAGAAATTACATATTTTATTTTCCAGTTAATATTTTTTTATTCCACGGATGGTATCAGAAACTACAATTCCCTTGTGAAGGGTCATTTTAAAAACTATAAATGACATCACGCCTTCTCATTGGATCATCTTGGCATCTAGCTGCACAGTCATTGGCATGCCAGCTATGAACTCATTGTTTTAATTAATTGTATTATTTCAAGGTCTCCAGACTTGTAAAATGGAAACGTGCGCTAAAATTTTTTCTGGTGGGAAAACAATATTAGTTAACAAAACAAAAATAACTGGCCTGTCATATTAAATAAAGCAGCTGTACTTACACAAAGCACATTGTTACTATTGATACATTGTTCCATTAAAATGTATCACAAGACAGTAATTATGCTTTGCTCTCTGGGACCAATACAGAGCAAGTGAAGACGAGGCCTCTGCTGTCTCAGAGCTTATACAACAGAAAATAGCCAGGCACTGATTAGCTAGCTGATTATAATGTATCACAATGTACAAAGTATTCTACCCCTTAGGTACCAATAAAGCTTGCAATCATCTATTATACATACTCAGCAACTTTCTATTCCCGCATAATCCAAAACGGTGGTCTATCTGAACCCATACAGACATAATAGAGTCTGGCGGGAGCAATTTTGGTGTTAAAAATGTTAACATGAAGAAATATCTTCGAGGTGTACATGTAACTAAAGCTGAAATCTGATGTTTTTATTCTCTAAATACTTCATTCACCCTATTTGAGTCAACTACTCCGAAATGCATTGGCCTACTCTGTTAGATATTTATGGTTGTAATAAGCACACTTTGACTCGCAAACATCTGTTTGGTGCTTGTCTTTTCCTATATCCTTTCAAATTGTACCTGTCATGCTCAACATTGCCATTGAGATCCCACAATCTAGGCGCATTGTCATGTTTTACTAGGTTCTATTGACACTACAAACATAGACATTTTAGAAAAATGCTCTGCAGGTTCTATCTTTGAGCTGCAATTTACAATTCAAGTCAAATAAATGGGGGCCATCACAACACCTATCTGTCCGTGGAAAGAATAGTTAGAATGAAAGATGATGAGACAACTACAAGGATACTCCTCAGTCTTTTTCCTGATCATATGACCAATGGGTAATAGCCGCACATGCATGGTTAAATCATGTCCTTCTATGACAATGGGAACTGGCTATTTGCCTCAGAGTTTCCACTAAACTTGAACAATGTTTGATTAACAATGACTCTGACAGTCAAGGCTCTTGCTACTGTATATCTGCAAGTGATGCTCAAAATGGCCACATTGTTTAGTTTTAGGCTTGTATATGGTTACCCTAACAAAGCCCAAGAATCAGACTTAGCAATGATAAGAAACTTCCCACTAGAAGGCTCTAGTTCTGGTAAGTCCTTTTTTCAAGTTCTGTAGCTATTAATCTCAGTTCAGTGCCCTGAATTAAACACGTATCTACAACTCATTAAAATTCTCATTCATTTACAGCTTTAGTTTAATTACACTTCTCCAGCTCCACACTTCAGCTTCCCAGCACACGTGTCATGTGTAGCAATTATTGTCTCATGGTAAAGATTGCAAAAACAATTGAGAACCCGAAGATTTTCTTACTTGCATGGTTTAGGATAACTAACAATTGTTAATGCAATCCTGTGATCGGACACTGATGATATA